AAGACAACCAGGCACAGGGACAGTTTCTTCCCCCAGGCTGTCGCTCTGATGAACACTTAACCCACGACAGTATGACTGGACAATAACCCTCAGAGCAATACCTGTAAATATACCTCATACAGATTATAGAGATTTGTACAGGTGTCTAGTTCTTAAGTACTCTGTTTTATCCATATTTATCTCATTTCAACAAACATTCCTTGTTGTCTGCATTGTTTACTGTTTGTTTATACTGCTTTTTCTGCATTGTTTGCACTGTTTGTTGATGTTAATACTGCTATTTTTTATATTACACAGCCTTATGCTGGTTTACTGTTTGCACATTGAGAGCCGATGTACCAGAGTCAAATTCCTCGTGTGTCCGTCACACCTGGCCAATAAAGCTGATTCTGATTCTGATTCTGGCAGTTTAAAACACAGCATTATGAAGGACAAGGTTAAAATCACAAAGAATTAGATGAACAGAACGACATGCAGCATCAGCCACAGAAACTCACGTCAAATAAATCCAGGAAGGAGTAAGAGAGAGTGTCAGAAAATATTGCTCATCACAGGGGGATGACAGGGGGATTTGGGAAGCAGAAAACCCATAGCAGTGACAGCTTTCTGCTAATTAAGGCTTTCTAGTTTCCTCTCTTTTTCCACTGATGAGCTGCAGTCATTTATCCTGCCTCCAGAGGGCAAGTTACCACTAGTAACCGATGAACTGTGAAGATTCTGCAGTGCTGTTTCCTCTTTACTCAGTTTTCTGTTTCTACAACTGGTATCCTCTCTTTAAGCAGTTTATTTGTTGCATGAAATCTTTCTTATTTCTTAGTTCTAGCCTACTCAAACCCTGTCATTATAGATACATTCTTTCATTCCATGTGTTTATTTTCATGCACACATTCCCTTTTTCCTGCTGTGCATGTTTTTCAGTGTCTGTTTTACTCTGCATGCATGTGCTGTCTCTCACTGTTCAAATGTATTTATGCCCTCTCTTCTATCTTCATAGTACATTAACACCATCTTGGTTCATACTCTAACAGATCCAGATGGTGACAACAGTGTTGTACATTCCCCTCTTTCTCTACCCATGTCTATCCCACATTAACTCTCTCTCCCTCACACACACACACGCACACACACACACACGCACGCACATGTACACACAGGCTTGTTCTTCTGTCTTTGTGGAAGCTGAAACATACAGTCGCTCCCACCATTGCTCTTAACATAATCTCCCATCTGGTCAGTGTTTGTCTTTTCACACCATCAAACCAGGCCAGTAAGCATTAAAAACCATAAACATACACACTTGAATATCAGGTATTATTTAGTGTAGTTGCCACACATGCACACAACATGAGATGTCTGAAACTGTTGGTTCTGTTGATCACTGGGACACAGATCAGTGGAGCACATAGAGCTTATCATACTATTAAACTGCAGCTGTTCACACCAAAAAGAAATCGTATGCCACACACACACACACACACACACACATCTGTCTTCTTCATACCATCTCAGATGACCCCTGTGAAATTCAGAGTTGAACTCCTGAGCGCATGCAGCCACACACAGCCACTGATCTTACCTGCGCTCACAGTGATGGCCTCTATGAACTGGTCTCTCCAGCTGTTGGTTCCGACCAGCAGGGCCAGGTTGGTCTTCTTTATCAGTTTGTCCACCGTGTTCTGCCAAAGGACAGATGGATAATAGGCAGGAGACATCAGTGAGTATGCAAAATGCCATACATCAATTAATAAAGCCCTAAAAACTTTAACGTACAAATCTTTTTATCACAGTATCACATTAAACATATTCTCTATCCACTTGGTCCAGCTCTTTGTTGAAGATATTTAATGTACATTGAATGAAACATTCAAGCCCAGGACGCTATGTTTATATGGCTTCACTATTCAATCGACTGAAAATATTCTCAAAATTTAGCCTGGCATATTGTATTTGGTACATTTAGAAAGCCTGTGATCTCCGCTACAATGGACAATGGTTTTGTGAGTCTGAACAATGTTTGACTGCACAGTGCGAGTATGTAATGACAGACTCGCTGGGGGAGGAGGTTTAGGGCTTAAGAACACTTTAATTTATCAGCTATTTAACTTGTACACAGTTAAAGGACAACAAAATACATACAACATAATCTTGCCTATCTTTGTCTGCAGGCCCCTCCTTCCCTCTTTCCATATTTTCCCCCATACTCCCTCTATCATTCATCTATTATTCTTTATTGCTCCCTCCATCTTCTTCATTTCTAGTATTTATATTTCTTTATTCTTTAAGGAAACTATAACAAACTGAGATGACACACAAATACTCAGGTGCATCACACAGAGTGGTGAGGACTGCTCTCTCCTTTTCTCTCCACTTCAGAGGGAAACTGAAATTGTTTGGAATGGAGCTTAAGGGTGTAAATATTGCCTCATTGCTGCTGTGAACACACACATGCACACAACCGCCACCAGCTTTACTCCATCTTTTGTATGTAAAGTGTTTATTTAACTGTACTCAGCTAGGCTTTTGTAATACCTCGTTCTGTTTCACAGTTATTTTTACCTCCATCTCAATTTACTACTTTACTACCGTGCATGTATGGTAGCAGAGTGCACAGAACTCTTAAAGGTGCATAACTAACATTTTACAAATTGATAAATCAAGTGAAAGTGGGACACATCTCCTCTGTACTAGCACCCTCCAGAAGAGTCTGTTGTGTTTTCAGCCCCACCTGCCACCTCTTTCAGTCTGAACACCTCACACCTCACACTTTTTTAGAAACTTGAGAAAAGCACCAGTACTGTATATGTTGCTTCATTTTGCTGACTGGATAATCATGAACTAGTGAAGCTAAAGACTTTAGAACCAACAGTTTTCTCATCTGTTTCCATTCTTTTTTGCATTAAGAGCAATATTAGCTGTCATTAAAACACAAACAAAACTTGCCTTGTGATTTACTCCACAGAACCTTGTGTTACTGATACTTTTGTTTATTTTGCATTTTTATTGTTTGAATAGAATTCACTTAGATTTGTGTTTCTTTCTTTTCCTCTTAGACACTCTCACACTGTTCTGCTCCGCTATCTGCCAATGGGTTGTCCTTCACATAACTATAGGATCCGGTTCCACATGTGCACACGGACACACACGCACACACTTTAACGTACAAAGCTACTTGACAAAGTATAGCATTCTGTCAAGTGGCTGTTACTGGGTGCTATTAACTGTCTGTCTAGAGTGAGTGTGTGGTTGGAGCGGCAGCAAAGAACATGCATTAGTTAGAACATTACACACACACACATACAAAATGTAAAATGGATGGTAATTACATCTACGCTTGTCTTAAGAGTCTGCGTGGGAACAGGAGAGCAAAGACAGGAGCGCACACCATGATTGCACAGCTACTTCCTGTATGTATAGGAAAGGATTTGAGTGTGAGAGTAACATGAGAGTGAGCTGATTTTATTGTTTTGTGTGTAGATGTGTGTCTGTATCTTCTGATGCATCAGTAGTTAGGATGTTGATGATACTGTAGTGACCACTGCAATTAAAACAATCGTCAGTGTCTTGTTGATGTGTCCATGTAATGAAACAGATTACCTTTGTGTGTTAAAATCATCTCAGAATTCATGGTCATGTGTGAAACCTACAGTAATTTTGCATTTTAAAAAAAATGTTTAAACTAATTTTTAGCACAGAAGGAGAGAATGAAGCAATGATTTGACTGTAGCAATGAACTAAGCCAGAAGGTCAATTTCACTTAATTTGGTGGTGGTTTGGTTTCATAAATATGTCTCCATCCAGGATGATGTTCATTAAAAGAGTAACTGGAACCAGTGCACTGTCCTAAAACTGCAGGATATTCATCCTTGTCCTCCTCATAACTCTGTCGATTTCATTCAATCATCTAATCATGTGACCGACACACACAGACATACTCTGTCTTACCTTGAACTCATATGATTCCTCTATGATGACCTCCAGTTTGGTGTGGTCTCCCAGCATGGGACGGCCCATTTCAGCGATGCGCCGTTCCTCTTCATCTTTTCCCGTCAATGCCTCTTCTTCCTCCTCCTCTCCCTTCTGCTGTTCCTCTGAAAACACAATCAAGACAACAACAAATAACAGCGTATCAGGTTTGGGTGATACTCAAGGTAGTAGAAAAGTAAAGAGTTATTCTTTTTCTAGGAAGTTTTTACGTGTCAGAAAACATGAAGTGACAAAATCTGACTTAACATACCGTATTGATTAAAAGTTGGAAGTATAAGTAAATGAACAGTTTAGACAGGATGATGTAATACCCAACCAAAGATCCAAGAACTCAAAATAATATCTGCTGTCTCCAAGTTTCAACAAACTCTGACTAGTGGCACCTCAGACAAAAGCGTCTCATTATAACGAGACTCTTTTCTTGTTATAATGAACAATTGAGCAAAAAGTAAATAATTAAAAAAATTCTCATGGTGGCAGCTATATGCTGCTGTAAGAAAGATACCAGGGTTTGGATGAATTTTCTTCTTATTTTTGAAAACTGATGGAATGGACACACTAGAATTCATGTGGGAAGAACAGTTCAGCACTGACTTTTCTGTTTGGACTGAATCGCCTTTGTCACAGTGGTTTTTTTCTTCTCACTGCCGACATCAGCTCAGTCGTGGTTAAAAGATGGTGAATCTTTAAAATAAACTGAAGAAAATGATTCAGCTCAGTAAACTGATTTGTAGTTTTTATCCAGCTTTGTGTTGGATAAAAAACATGTTTCTCATTCACCAGGGTTTATGTGGTTCGTTAACTAGTAATAGTAGCATTACTTAATGAAAATATTCTTCTAGTTCCATTTCATTATTCATCCACAACCTCTCGCTCTTTTTGCTTTTATATTCTTCTCCCCTTTTATTTATGGTGTCTGTCAGTAATTGAGATTCACAGTGGAGTCTGAACTCAAAGTGAGAGGGGGAGGAGAAGAGAAAAGAGAAAAACCATGATCAAATTTTCCATTGGGGAACAGTTATCCATTCCATTGCCGTACATTATAGTGCAGTGCATTGTGGGTCTGCACCAGCTCATTGGTCATTTGTTCCCCACAGTTGATTAACAGCATGGAGGCTATAGCTCACTCACTAACTCACACACATGCAAATTTCTGCCCGGAGCACTTTACTCCATCATAAACAAGTATCACAGTTCTGCTGGGCAGCTTGGCTCCCAGCCCGACCGTGAAACATGAGAGATGAAGGCTGAAGGGCAGCGGCTGAAGCCTCCCAGACACAAACAAAACACAACCTGCAGCAACAATGAGATGTGTAGGTGTAACAACAATATGGTCAAGGTTCAGATAAGCCAGTTATTTAAATACAACTTAAATTTAATTGCATGCTTTTTTTGCATACATATCAGCAAATCGCTTAGTGTCCTTTGACAAAACACTTAAAGAAGAAAAATGTATATTTTATATTCTTGGCTTCATGAATGCTGAAAGCTGTTAGCTCCTTTTTTTCATAAATTCTGAACCTTTCTCCATACAGCCAATGACATTTCTTTCATTTTAAACCTTATTTAATTAAAGCTCTAATGCCACCATTCTATCGTGGGTCACACTGAGCAACAGCCAGACATCACCCCTGCTAGACAAAGGTGCACCAGACTGTGAAGACTGTCTGCAAGGTTTCCTTCTTATCTGACTTAAAAGATACATTTTGTGCTGCACTTTAGGTTTTAAACAAGCAACCAAACATTCTTCAGGGGAAGTCTGCAGACTAATCACTGTAGCTGGCCAAATGCAGCACATTAACTGGTAAAAGGTAACCTGCAATGTCAGTTTCCAGTACATGCTGGTGTAATCCTTACAATTCATCAGGACTTACAGCAAAATGTTTTGCCCATATCTGGTAAGCTACAGTATAAGTTTATTTTGTTTTGCTGCTACTGTAGCTGACATCCAAACATAAAAAATAAAAATCTCACACACACCTCAAAATTTTGAATGTTAAAAATCTTCTGCAAGCCAATGTTCCTTCCTCTAAATTCTAAATATTAACATCATATATCACTTTGGCTGCAAAAGGGAATGACTAACTGTGATGTCTGTGTAAAAAATCAGCTTTTGAAACAACCAGTTCCAACAAAGAACTTAAGATACATGTCTTGCTGCTGAAGAGAGTCATTATTCCTCACTTATTAAACATTCTGCTCATGCTACAAAGCAACATTTAACAACTTAAACCATCCACCAGAAACCACTATGTAATTTGGTGATGTGTTTTGAGTTCATGAAGAGGCTCAGAGTAAATATTTCGGGGTTGATACTCACATTCAACAAATGTCTGCAGAATGTGACATTTTCATTTATCAAACGAAGCCACCACTGTTCTGGGCCTGTGCTCCTATTGATTGCTTTCTTGTAATATTGAGGGACTAAACTAACTGTATGAATGACCTGTGATGACACAGTATGCGTTGATGCTAAGGTTACAGCATCATATCCTCAAGGCGTCATAGTGCCATACAGACGTTTTCCACAGCAGCCATGTTGACATGAACTACTAGGTAAACACAGGTGTCACTAATGACATTGATTAAGGCTATGTTCTATTTAGGTACAGCACCTGAATTAATGTGATTAACACCTATGATTATCTGCTCTTTCATGTCAAGATGGCAGCCGTGAAAAACGTTTATCCCATCAAAGCGCTTTGCTCTGAGAGTGCAGGTCTGCTGGTGGGAGGCAGAGCCTTTAGCTATCAAGCTCCTCTCCTGTGGAACCAGCCCCCAGTTTCAGCTCGGGAGGCAGACGCCCTTTCTATCTTTAAGATCTTGCTTAAAACTTTCCTTTTTGATAAAGCTTATAGTTAGCACTGGCTCAGGTGACCCCGAGGCTTCTCTTAGTTAAGCTGCTATAGGCCTAGACTGCTGGGGGGATTCCCATGCTGCTCTGAGCTCCTTTTCTCTCCTCCCCTCCCCTCCAATTAAAACTTAACTGAAATGAATATAGCATTTAAAGAAGCCACCTGATTTGTCAGTGAGAAACCATCTGAAATGTATAAAATAAAAAACATTTTTTCTTAAAGTTCCTGGTGAGAATTCTCTAAAAGGTTCATGTTTAGTTGAATGAATCTGATTTACATGCACAGCTGTCCAAACACACATCACTGGACACTACAGACAGGTGGCAAATTAAAGGAACAACCTGAACATTTTGTATTTTGTTTTTTTCCCTTTGTTTCCCATTTGAATGCAATGATGATTTAATGAACTCAGTTAACAGCCTACACTAAACCTCGTGTGGTTTGAACATGACCTCGCAGTATCTTTAAAGGTCAAGGTCAAAGTGTATCTTTGTTAACTACACTTCCTCAGTGTGTGACCGTGTGTAAAAGGACCTGACAGAGGTTGAATGTTGAAGGGGAAGATGTGGATTCTTGTCAAAGACGCTGTCTGTATCATTTATTATTTTGATTTTCGCCCCTCTGGTGTCCCCCTCTCTGCTCCTCTGCAGCTCATTTGTATTAAACACACCTGCATTTAGAGCACACACACAGAAATATTGATGAAACTACTGAATACACTGAGAATTCAACTTTAAAGGATAACTTACTTTACTTTGAAATTGTACTTTTTTCTTCTATATTTACTTCCAGTAACTGTTTCTACCTATACCTAAGCAGACACAAGGAGAATCTGACCTTCCTCCTCATTATCCCTAAAAGTCTGTCTTCTGTTATATAACTATCTTCTCCCTCTTTATTAATCTTTCCTTTCCGTTTGATCTACCCGCTGTCCTTTTATCCTCTTTGTCTCTGCTTCTCAGTGCTAACCTTCAACTCAAAGTCCTTGTCTCTCACTCTTTCTCAAATCCCTTCGTTCCCCTTTTCCTGATTTGGTTTCAATTCAAATGAGCTTCAGTGAACTGCCAAAGCATAGCAACAAAGAGCACATTACTTATTCAGTTAGAGCAGAAACCTCTGCTGTCAAATTAATCCTACAACCTTGGCATTTTCATTGTGAACAAACGAGTCTGTGTGGGGACAATTGGCAGCAGCTCTCTATTCATGTCATTACCGTTCTTTTTTAAATTAAGGACACTTTTCATAATCTATTTTACCAGGCACCACCCTGAAGAGGACTATTATCTATTTAATTAGATTTCTATTCCATTCCTCCCCAGTGAGCACCTTTGTATTTTGGTTAGACATCCTAATACGCTGGTCCCCATTCTGATTAATCTGGTCTTCAAATCACTGGAAGAAAGAAATTAACATGGCTAGTTTGCTTTTTTACTACTTGATCATGACTTTCCTGTTTGAATCCAATAATGGATGCACTGTAAGGACATGGTACTAGTTCTCAAGAATATAAACCATCAGCATTTAAATAAATTAAGTTGTGCCAACAGACCAAGCCAGCGTTTCATTGACAGCTTCAGAGATGATTCTGACAACCTAGAACCTAAGCTCTGATTCATTGTGGTTCAAATACTCCAGAAAGTCCTTCCTGCTTATGTGATGAAGGGTTACATATCTTTTTAGATCTGGTTCTGGTTCTGAGCTGTTGGTAAAGTGATCAAAATTAAAGCAAGGCAAAGCCTGCAGTAACAGTTGAGAGGCATCAACTACAGCCACTCCCTACAAATTTGACATCAGCCCCCTATTAAACACCTACGACACCTGGCTTTTCACCAGACCAGAGCAGCTACAGCATTCTTGCTCAAAACAGGTTCTAAAAAACTACAATGTACAGTCAGTGAGTCACAAACAATGCCACAATGAACTAAAGCACACATTTGTGGAAAAGAGTTTAACTTGTCTTGGATCCTTAGTTCCACAGAAGTGACAGAAGACGGCACAGAGAGAAGGGAAGAAAGACAAACACAGAGGTGGAGGAAAACAGGTAAAGAACTGAGGAGAGGATCTTGACACCCCTTTGAACAGGGATGGATTCAGGTTGCATCAGAGGAGGAAGAGGAAAGAAGAGTCAGAGGAGACCTGTATTTGCAACCTATCAACATCTAAAAAAAAAGGAGGAGAAGCACAGAAGGGAAACGACTGCATTGTGCCAAAGAGAAGATGAGCAGACAGAAGGAGAAAGAAGACAGGGA